TTTTCGTTTTTCAAAATTTCTTGAGATTTGTTGGTTACTATTGAAGGTTCATAAAGAACTTTTCGATGATTATATTCCCTCTAACCAAGCTATTGAGGAAAGACAATTCATTTGAACTGTTAAGTGCCAAGAAAACTTCAAGATATTAAAAGAAAACTGACATAAGCTCCAACATCAATGTAATCATAATAAGGAAAATATTATATGAATTATAGTAATGTGTCTCATAATGGTATGGGATGTGTGTTCGTACAAGAGAAAATGTTTTGGTTTATACTTCAAAGCAACTAGAGAATCATGAAAGAAATTATGCAACTAGAGAACCATGAAAGAAATTATGCAACTAGAGAATCATGAAATAAATTATCTGACTCATGATCTCAAGTTGGCAATAATTGTGTTTACTTTGTTGATTATATATACGAATCTCAAAAGTCAAAAGTATGTGTTGGCTCGAAGGAGTGAAAAAATGAAATGGATTGAATTCCTTAAGGAATGATGACTTGCTTATCAACTGCAAACAGGAAATGATAATGTGGTGGGTAATCCGATAAAGCCGAAGACATTTATATTCTGAGAACAAATTCAAAACCCTTTCTTGAAACGAGAACAAATTCAAAACCAGTAACACTCTTTTAATTTAAGGCGCAAGCCCTAAACAACCAATCACATGTATCATTCTTATCCTTTTTAATCAGAATCAACTCAGCAATACCTCTGTTTAACTTATTAAACTTATACTCATACAAACATGCATGTGTAATTCCCTTGCATCAAACTCATATATTCGAGCTTTATTCGTCTTATAAACTGGTCATCGATTTACTTATTCTTGAACTGTTCTATAAACCATAACCACATCACTTGATCTTTTAACGTTCTTATGGTGACATTCGTTCACCATATTCTATTTTATCCACGTAGTAACGAAACTTTTCAATTTAATTTCTCGCCTTTGGAGAAATGAAAATCTTCTAGCATTATATTCCTATCATTTAATCAACTGTCTATAACAATAGAACATTTCTCAAATTCACCATTGAAGTCAGGTGTTCTAAACTCTTTTCGATACATTCATTCTATGAATTATAGGAGTATAACATTGAAAATACATCATAATATCATTCAATATCATGAAACATTCTCTAATCTTGTACAAGCATTCCCTGAGGTTTTTCACTATTCTCCCTGCCTGGCCAGGGCAGGTAAATGTTATTACCTTCAGTCTATTGCCTTGTGCTTCACTTTGGAAACTCTTATAATCATACATTTAATATAACATAACAATTTAAATCTATTTACAAGACAATACACTCATTACACTATCAGATCAGAAATTTTTTCACTTTGTGTTGGCATGTATACTTTTTAAAACTTTTGACTTTGTTTTTAGCCTAGAATCGGCTAAACCGTATCTCTGATACCATTAAATATAACACCCCAACCCGTACCCGACCCGGATACGAGTCCAAGATGTCACATTGACATTTCAAAACCTTTATTCTTGCAAAATATCAAAACATTCGTACTTATATTAAGAAAATACGATCATATATTGTTTAATTGTGTTTTGGTATAAAATTTTGAGGTAAAAACGTATTTATGAACAGTAAAATATGGTATGAACAATACCGTATGAACAGTGATGAACAATACCGGAATGTTAAAATTTTCCAAATTATAAAAGGGGAACCGATTCCCCTGCTACAGGGAATCGATACCCTGCTACAGTACTTCCGTAAAATATGTATAAATTCATAAAATTTAAAACGTTCAGCATCTTTCATTTACCATTTACAAATATACATTTAAAACATTATGAAATTCAATCATATGTTTTTTACAAAACCGATTTAAAACATATCGAATTTAAACCTTTATTTACATACCAACCACTATCCTCATTACAAAATAAATACTATACATTTCTTTTCTGATCTGACCTTTGGAAAGGAGAAACTGACCTGCCTTGCATAACTTTTATCAATCTTCTTCTTCTCAGAACCTACGCGTGAAACAATCACACGCTAAGTCGATGACTTAGTGAGGCATATAAAACATAAACTATAACCATATATCATTTCATATAAACAAAAGGTATACATATGCAAATACTATCATATCATATAAAAACATATATCATTAACATGCTTTTCAATACTCATATTATTGTTACTAATTCCTTGTGATCATATAAGCTTACGTTGAACATTTCTATACATATTATAGAACACATATATTTCACAAAGAAACACACATAGCATCCTATAATTCATGCAATACCTTTCATATCACCACAAGCATATGCATCTTATATATTGTATTTGTTATTGTCTCTTTATTAGCCCATGGTAGATTTATGAGAACTAATGATATGTGAGTACATTGAGGTTGTGCACTAATACTGTCACCATAGCTCGTATAAGTCCCATTGAGTAGCATATGAAATTTTTCCCGAAGGACCACTGTATTATCCCGAAGGACCACTATATTGTCCCAATGACCTATGAAACCCTCGACTCTTGGCATGTCAACTATACATATAGCTCTCGTATCATATAACATGAGCATTATTCTTATGTTTCATATGTTCATGTACTCATTTCATTTCTCTTGTGATCATATATACCTTTCTTCTGTCACATATCACATGTATGTGTAAACATCTATATCATTTCATAAAACATGTATCTCATAGGTTTATATCATGTAACATATATCATTTCTCATGGATTCATGTAACATGTATATCATATCTTATTCACATATGTTCATATATACTTCACATATGCTTTGAATCATCTTTTTCATATAACTCATATAATCCTTTTCTATAATTCATATTTTATTTTCATATATGGCATATCACATAAATCATATAGAACATATCAGTTCATATAATCAAGTATACATACATTTCATGTCATTCACATTCTTAGAAACAATACTCCATACACACTATAACTATTGGAAATAGACTTATCTCAAGCCCAATTCCTTATAATCCTATAAACTAACATGCACTCATAAGAATCATATCAATTATATAACATTTTACGAATCACTTCTTACCATAGTAACTCCGTCACTGACTCATCGCAAGTCAATGTTTTTCGATAGCATAAGTACAATTAAATTGCACTCACCTTAGCCTTGCTTTGATTCGATCCTAATCCTTTGATTATTCCAGAACTTGTTTAGGCTCAATATCTACATAAATATAACATTTCAAAATAACTATCAGAAGCCTAAACCTTAAACTTGATGTTGATAACTTAAGCCGGTTAAATAAACCCAAAATTCCAAAATTCCATTTTTTTCTTTAGGGGGGAATCGTACCCCATCAGGGGGAAATCTGTAACCCCTGTACAATCTGGAATTTTCGTTCAAGCCCAGAAAATCACTGTTCATGCCCGAAAATTCACTATATCAACTTAAATTGTTCATGTTTCATTCCCTTGCATATTTTTAACTCAAGTATACATACTTAAACTAATTTATATCCATTTATTTCATCTTAAACCTCAAAATTCTATTCTCCATATAGAAATCAATAATCATACCAAAATTTTCATGTTATCCAAACTTAATTCTAATACTTGTAACTTCTTATTCTCATAGATGACAAGTCAAATTCAACCTCCAAATTCATTTAAACATTCCTATTCAAAATTTCACTTCAAAACCCATTTTCTTTAATCTGTCATAACTCCTTTATCTTTTGATTTTAAGATAACTTAAGCTTTCCTTAAGCTTAGTTATCTTCTAATGATCATAACTCAATCTTAAAATTAACAAATAATTAGCTAAACTGAAAACTTACCTTTGCTTAGCTTCCACGGTGAAGAAGGAGAAGAATATGAGAGAAATGTCTGGAAACATTTGTTTCCCACATTTCTCTTTCACGTGGGTTATAAGATAACCCCAAATATTATTTTATTCTTTTATTTGTTCAATGACCATTTTACCCTTTAATTTCTTGGATAATTACTAATAACTTTCAGGAAATATACACAAATAAATCATTGAACTATTCAACTATTATACTTTAATCACCAAATTCTAAAATTTTACAATTTGGTCACTAACCCGTAGTTTGAGATGTTACATTAAATTTAGATTTCAATTTAGTCCTTTAATTTAGGGAATAATTTGATTTGAGCTTTCACATTAAATGCCTTATTGTTCAAATCTATTATTTGATTCAATAATTGGTTAAATAAACTAGGATTAATATTAGAGACTCCATTTTTCAGGTTTAGTCTTCTAGGTTCTTTAAACTTCATAATTTGACACTTTAAGTTAGGAGAAGCCTTTAATTAACCCACCTAGTGTAAGTAGGTCTTTAATCAATTGATTGATTGCGACCGATTTTAAATGTAAGTCAATATTCACTGATTAGGAGGTCAATAGTATATTTCTAGAGACTCCATTTTTCAGGTTTAGTCTTCTAGGTTCTTTAAACTTCATAATTTGACACTTTAAGTTAGGAGAAGCCTTTAATTAACCCACCTAGTGTAAGTAGGTCTTTAATCAATTGATTGATTGCGACCGATTTTAAATGTAAGTCAATATTCACTGATTAGGAGGTCAATAGTATATATTTCGCAATCATGCTCAGGGGGTGACTACTAGTGATTCCCAAAATATGTCAATATCTTTTTTAAAACCACATTATAATTTCTCAATCCCGAGGTAATGTTCGTTTATGGGGTCAATAATTGATCTTTCGTATTCATGCTGGGGGTGAATATTATTGGCTTAATACTTGGTATTTCAATAAAAATAAAATATTTTATTAAATTACTTCATTTTTATGATATTTCAACCGCATTTTAAAATAATTGGTGACAACTCTTAACATTTCTTTAAAAATATTTCAAAAACCTCATCGTTGAACCTAGTTGTACTTTCCCGATGGGCCGGTTGCGACAAAGATCAATGTAGATTTTTCTAATTGGTTAATAGCGTTGATAATATAGTGAAAGAGGGTCATGAAATAACTCTATTAAAACAAGCTTTTATTTAGCACAAGTTTCTTCAAGAGACTCGTATTACAATTTAAAACAGAAAGAAAAAAATTCTAACGCAGTAAGTGAGCCAATGCTTTCGCAGAAGAACCATCGTCATTCCAAGCTCTTTCTCCACTCGATTTAAGCTCTTTGACTCTACCTCTCATTGCATGCCCTTCTTCATCCACCATTAACGTTTTCAGCATCATCTTTATCTCCTCTCTTCCCACGATTTCCCTTCCATGGCAGCGTTTTCGGTCGCACCGCTATTCTCACTTCTTCAGCCAACAATGTGGCGTTCATTCTCTGCTCTGCATACAAGGGCCAAGCTATCAACGGTACTCCATTGATGATACTTTCCAAGATCGAATTCCACCCACAGTGCGACAGGAATCCCCCAACCGATTCATGCCTTAAAATTTCAACTTGTGGACCCCAATCGGAGATGATGAAACCCACGCCTTTGGTCCGGTCCAAGAATCCTTCAGGCAAATAGCTCTCTACTCCTTCATCGTCGTTGCTTGAATTGCCGGTGGTGAAAAATGAGCCGTCGTTGGACTCGGCTGGAGGTCGAACCACCCAAATGAACTTCTGTTGGCTTAGCTCTAAACCCAAAGCCAGTTCTCGCATTTGCTCATTTGACAGCAACCCACCACTCCCAAATGATATATATAACACGGATTCACTCGGTTGCTTTTCTAACCAATCAAATAGTTCAGTTTTGTTCGAGTTAATCGGTCTTGTCGGCGGTACCAATGGCCCTACTGGATATACTGGAACCTTGCTGATGCCACCCCAAAGTTTGTGATCTCGCAAAGCAGCAAGCGTTGTTGGTTCCAGTTCCTCCCATGTGTTAAGCAAAATCCCATCAGCCATTCGGGTTTTAATGGCCATATTTAAATATTCCCAGTACTGTTGATCCGACCGAGATAACATCGGATCGACTACATCTTCAGGCAGAAGAGGCTTACATCCGGGGATAAACAAAACATTCTTCTCATCAACATACTCTCCTTTCACACTTTCATGGAGAATCGGAAGATATAAAGTTAATGCAAGAAACCATGCATTCATAGTAATGTAAACAAGCTTTTGAATCTTGAACTCATCAGCAACCTCCATATGTTCACATCCGAACAAATCAACGATGAGAACAGTGGGAGCGAAACTCAAAGCAGATAATGCAGATGAAAACGCCGGTCTAGTTTCGCGCATAAGAACTGCTAATCGAGTAACAACTGCAGCATCCGGCTTGACAAGGTGGGAGATATCTGGTGGAGGGAGAAGAATAACTTCACACCGGTTCAAGCTTATAAATGATTCGATCACCTGTGATTCCGCGGCTGATGTTCGTGAAGAAACACAACAAAGATGGTTACCTTGAAATTGAGTGTCAGTAGGCACTTTCCAAGCTCCACGACTGGAATAAGGTGGCCTAAACCAGGGCTTGATAATTGTCACACCCTAATACGGGTTATATTTTTATGAAGTTTGAAATAACAGTTTTAAAAAAATTATTAGGTTCACCGGAAATATTATGAAGATTTGGGGACCTTGAATATAATTTGTCCTTGATTATTGTTAATTTAAGATGGTTCTAGAGAATGAGAAATCGATTTTTAGTTGATTTAGATCTTACTGATAAATATTATTTTAGTCAAAATAAAAGAGGGCCGCAAATTATGAGATATTTTAAAGAAAAGTTAGGTTTTAAAATGGATAATGAGGATAATGGGAAACCAAGCTCAACCGACACTTTCTATGGTTGAAGGCAAGTTGCCATTTCTTAAAAAAAAAAATCTAACATGACATGTGAGTCCATGGGATCCACACACTAATTTTTCTTGCCAGATACAAAAGAAAGGGTTTCATTCCAGCATTCTATAAATAACTTAGTTTCATCCGTTTAACTTTCTATCCACCACCATTTGGGTTTGACAAAACATCTATCTAAGGTTCTCCACTTCCATTAAGCTTCAATCCTTGGTTCTTTATCGTAATCACTTGGTAGTTTCATACCAAGTTTCCATTAAAATTTCATCGTGGGGTTTGGATTACGTGGTGATTACAGCGTGGACCGGGATGGTTTGGCTGATCAAGGAAGTGGCATTTGCGGAAAAGGTTGAGAAGTTGAAAACTTTGAAGCCTAAAATGCTTATAGAAGCCTTGGTTCCTGATTTCCGGGGAGATGCCGGCTGTGTAGAGAAAGTTACAAAATCTGGGTTGGATGTCTTTGCTCACAATATTGAGACTGTTGAAGAACTTCAAAGGGATGTACGTGATGACCGAGCTAATTTTAAGCAATCATTGGATGTTCTAATGATGGCCAAAGAGTATGCTCCTGCTGGAACACTTACCAAGACTTCAATAATGTTAGGATGTGGAGAAACGCCTAATCAAGTTGTGAAACAATGGAGAAGGTTCGAGCAGCAGGTGTTGATGTGAGACATTCGGTCTGTATTTGAGACCATCAAAGCGCCACATGCCCGTATAGAATACATTACACCTGAAGCCTTTGAGAATATAGAGCCCTTGGCATGGAAATGGGTTTTGACAAACAAACGTGGTTGAACTCACCAGCTTATCGTTCTCATGGTTCATGAATTACGGGTTTAACAAAAACGGCGGTAGCATGGGATCGTGGAGAGCGTAAGGGAAGGTGTTGAAGAAATAACAAAAGGTGACCAAGTGATTTCGATCTTTCAAGGTGAGTTTGGGCATCTTCAATTTGCTTCTTTAGTTTAATAGGACATGAACATGATCACGTGTTGGGGAATTGTAGATAACATGCAAAAAGGGATAAACCACAAGGTATGTCATCCAAGTTTGGTGAGATCTTTACCTTATCTCTTAGTTTCCAAGTGGTTAAAATTATGACAATATTTTTACAAGATCAATTTAGTCCATGATGTTAGTAATTAAATATTACTAGCTCTTCAAGTTTTTAGTTATGCAAATTGAGTTTCCAAATTATTATTGATTCTAATAAATTATTTTTATGGTGAGGAAATTATCTGGAATTGAGTTCATATATTTGATGGTCCGGGTACGTGAGAGAAAAATTAAAAGCTCGAAATCAAATATAATGAGTTCAAATTCGAGAAAAATGAGGTTCTGGCAGTGTATTTGATTATACCTGAAAAAGGCATATTTTGGATTCTCTTCGACGTCCTGGGTCCGAATCCGAAGTTCTTTTTGCCAAATTCGCACTCGGTAAGTCATTTTCCATATTTTACCTTTGGATTCAAGTTAGCTTCTCAATTAAGTTCAGTCTTTGATGTAAATTTGGTTGCTTTGTATCCGATGAATTATTGGAAGTTGACTTAAAGATTGAGGGTGTTCGAATTGAATGTAAATGATCGATCAATATGGAACAGAAATCGAGGTAATACTTTACTACCTCTTTATGCTTTATGGAACATGTTGGTATTGATAAATGCATGAATGGAAATGTTTGGTCTCATATGTGTAATTAATGAAGATCTACACTAGGTACGAATACGGTAGAAAGTAGATAACTGAATATGGCTCAGATGACTATTATAAGAAATTGGAGGACGGTTTGAATTAAATTACAAGTTCTGGAATTAAGTAATAAAAGAATTAACCATGGATTGTAGATATATTTATCTCATTAAAGGTACTTAGATGATAAATTAAGAGAATATTCGATTAGGGAAAATTACGAAATTACCCTTATGTTGGAAAATGATAAGAATTGTCTCTGGAAGTGGATTAATAAATCTGAAAAGAATTATTGATCTGCTAAAACTATTGATGTGCATAAGAAATGTTAGTTTTACTTGGAAATTATGGAGAACCGGTTTTAACCCCAAGAAGGTTTATGCAAGATACTAGAAGTGTGTTAAGGGAATTATTTCAAGATCAGAGATTGTTCAAGAAAGCAATTAATCATAGGATCTCTAAATTATATTATTTTCGTTAAGAGCTAATATCGAACTTATCTGGCTAAGAAATTACGGAAATGCCTTAAGAGGTAGAATAGTCTGAGATGACTCTGAATGAGAAAATACTTAGAGGATTCGTACTTAACTCGATTAAGTACGGATTTAATTGTTAAGATCCCGACTTAGTGCAGGAAAATTTATGATATTCCGTTTGTAAAGTCTGAGAAGACACTTGACCTGAAAATATTCGAATAATGAGTAAATACTGGAAGAGTAATTTATCTGGGGTATTTTGCTGTCAGAATTGTTCGAAATGACTGAAGTAAATGATAAGATTGAATTAAATAATAAGACCGGATGGAAGGAAATGATTGAAATATTCTAGAATTATAAAATGACCAAATTACCCCTGGAATGGAAATAACTCAAGAATGTCACCAAGCTCAGGAATGAATGGATATACTCAAGCTTTGAAATGAATAGAAAAAATGTTAAGCACCAAAATGACCAAATGCCCTTATGACCTAGAATAAGTAAATGTCTTGGATTAATTAAGAAATCCAAATAAACATGGATGTTGTGCTACCAGTAAAAGTTGTGAAACACAACTTAAGTGATTAACCAACATTAGTACTATATCATTACCTGAATGATATAAGTATCACTTGAATGTTTGTTCATCTGCTCAAATTTGGATCGATGATAATTCTGGAAGTACTTGGCGCAGCTCAACTCTAGAGCGCATACAGTACTAATAAGTGGGTAGTCGTTAGTCAAATCAACCAAGAATACCATAATAACTTTATTATATGAATAAATTGAAATGAAATGTAGTACAACGTGTATTTGAAAATTCAGAAACGTCTGAATTATTCTGGAAAACTTTAAAGTAATCGAGATAGACTTGCTTACCAAACGAACTAAGTAACATCAATGAGTATGGATTAAATAGGTGATTTGATGAGTTTGGAAACACTGTTGAACTTACATGATGAATTGTCATTATGGGTTATGAGCCATGGATCCAGTACGTCAGTATTTCCTGATATTGTTGAAACGTGGAAATGAAATAAAGACCGTTGGAAGATTTATTCAGTGATGATTATGGGGATGATCTATGGATCTGCACTATGGTATTAAAGAGTGAATGCATTGGAAGGATAATGAATTGATTTGTTGACATGCATCAGTCTGTGAGTTGTGTAACTTGAGTTGTTTGATAATACTATCGATAGTCATAGATCGTAAATGACTTGAATCTTCGATTACATATTTTGATCTAAAATCAATTCGGTCATGTTTGAAAACGCAAGTAACGCAGAAGGAAAAGATTCTGAATACCTCATTTGGTACAATTGGGCTGAAATCCTATGAATTCAAAGTATATTCCTGAATACCCCTGATTGTTTGGGTAATGGAATCACTCGCAGTAAATCTGAATTTAGAATTATTATGTAAAAGGTTCCTGAACGTTTTCCTGATGCACATGGAAACTTAGTGGAATTCTAAAGTATCAATCAGAAATGTCTGATTATATGGTTAGAAATCGATTCTCTTCAATGAGATCTTATTCCTGGAATCTGATCAAATTGCACAAGTTCGTGTTATCTATATTGATAACTACAAAATGCGTCTGAAAAATATATGGATTCTCTAGTGTGTTCCTTATATGTTGAAAAAAATTGTTTTATTGTTTTTAACACGTGGTACACTGAAATCTATGGTTTTTATTTTATGGATGCACCGACTTAACGGTGATGGCTTATGGATTTGTATCATTGTATAAACTGTATCTTGGAGATACAGATTTGTAAAGTACAGCTCTGATCAAGCTGGAAAATTGTTATGGACCTAATGTGACACTTAGGTAGGCTCTGCGGCCCTGAGATCATTCTCGGGTAGGCCCTGCGGCCCTAAGATGTGTTCTTAGGTAGGCCCCACGGCCCCGAAATCTATCTTGGGTAGGCTCTCAGGCCCTAAGATGTTCCCTTAGGTTAATTCTTGGTAAGATGGTTTTAAAATACGAGTTTAAAAAGCTCCACTACAATATGGTTTATGGGATTTTACTGAACTATCATTTGATTAGTGTACCTATTATGATTTTATCGTATTGATGAAACACACTAGACATCCTATTTGACCTCATGAAAACGTGATTGTATGAAAGGTTTCTTATGAACTGAGATTCATGGCTTCTACTCGATGAACTTCTAAGGGAACCCCAAATTATTCTACAAGCTGGTATACATATGATTCAATAAGGAAATTATATGGCTTTCTATTTATCTACATGTCATGTAGCATCATCTGGTAGTTCTGTATTACTGAGCTTTCCAAAGCTCACTCTATTACTCACCTTTTCAGGTTAAAAGAATTGTACCAGTGCATCTATCGACTTCAGTAAGGGAGTTCTTCCGGCGTTGTTGCAGAGTATGGTACATGTGATTAGGGGGCATGTAATTGTATTTTGTTTTAAATACGAGTCTGAAATCTATTTTTATTTCTGAATACTGATAAATGATTTTATGAGTTTACATGTTCTGATAAAAAGTTTTAAATTTTCCGCTATTTTTATAGAGGGTCGCTCCGGTGGCCCTAATGTGACTTCCCGGATCGGATCGGGTTACCCGCATCGGTCTGGGGGGTTACATTTAGTGGTATCAGAGCTATGGTTTGAGTCAAAATTTTTCAAGGTAGACCGGCCGGTCAAATGTCAAAATATGTCTAATCAGTACATGCTCCTATACTGCAATCGTACTTCTCTGAGTCGGAACTCCAAGGTTGTGTCTCTATCTGTAGTGAGCAAACCTAAGTTTTCATCCGTTAGGACTCTATCGTTTTATAAAGGGAGACTAGTAACATCTGTCTAAATTTTGTAAAGTACAACACGAGCCATGTGAGATTTACTCTTCTGAGAAATTATGACCCGACTCTAGAAATGGAATTGAGATATGCTACTGCTCTATGAGACTATTCTGGTGACCAAGACTGAATTAATTCTTCAAGGAAATTTTCGTTCGGATTCTTTTATTGAAATGAGGAAAAGTTTTGATAAGAATGTATGCTCAACTGGTTAAGGATTAGTGGAGGATTCGTACTTCTGTGAAAGCTACTTGAAAATATGGAAGAATTGTTTGAATTTTCATTTTTTGTAATTCTGTTACATGAATGAATTTCGAGGTCGAAATTCTTTTGAGGAGGGGAGAATTGTCACACCCTAATATGGGGTTATATTTTTATGAAGTTTGAAATAACAGTTTTAAAAAAATTATTAGGTTCACCGGAAATATTATGAAGATTTGGGGACCTTGAATATAATTTGTCCTTGATTATTGTTAATTTAAGATGGTTCTAGAGAATGAGAAATCGATTTTTAGTTGATTTAGATCTTACTGATAAATATTATTTTAGTCAAAATAAAAGAGGGCCGCAAATTATGAGATATTTTAAAGAAAAGTTAGGTTTTAAAATGGATAATGAGGATAATGGGAAACCAAGCTCAACCGACACTTTCTATGGTTGAAGGCAAGTTGCCATTTCTTAAAAAAAAAAATCTAACATGACATGTGAGTCCATGGGATCCACACACTAATTTTGCTTGCCAGATACAAATGAAAGGGTTTCATTCCAGCATTCTATAAATAACTTAGTTTCATCCGTTTAACTTTCTATCCACCACCATTTGGGTTTGACAAAACATCTTATCTAAGGTTCTCCACTTCCATTAAAGCTTCAATCCTTGGTTCTTTATCGTAATCACTTGGTAGTTTCATACCAAGTTTCCATTAAAATTTCATCGTGGGGTTTGGATTACGTGGTGATTACAAGCGTGGACCGGGATGGTTTGGCTGATCAAGGAAGTGGGCATTTTGCGGAAAAGGTTGAGAAGTTGAAAACTTTGAAGCCTAAAATGCTTATAGAAGCCTTGGTTCCTGATTTCCGGGGAGATGCCGGCTGTGTAGAGAAAGTTACAAAATCTGGGTTGGATGTCTTTGCTCACAATATTGAGACTGTTGAAGAACTTCAAAGGGATGTACGTGATGACCGAGCTAATTTTAAGCAATCATTGGATGTTCTAATGATGGCCAAAGAGTATGCTCCTGCTGGAACACTTACCAAGACTTCAATAATGTTAGGATGTGGAGAAACGCCTAATCAAGTTGTGAAAACAATGGAGAAGGTTCGAGCAGCAGGTGTTGATGTGATGACATTCGGTCTGTATTTGAGACCATCAAAGCGCCACATGCCCGTATTAGAATACATTACACCTGAAGCCTTTGAGAAATATAGAGCCCTTGGCATGGAAATGGGTTTTGACAAACAAACGTGGTTGAACTCAACCAGCTTATCGTTCTCATGGTTCATGAATTACGGGTTTAACAAAACGGCGGTAGCATGGGATCGTGGAGAGCGTAAGGGAAGGTGTTGAAGAAATAACAAAAGGTGACCAAGTGATTTCGATCTTTCAAGGTGAGTTTGGGCATCTTCAATTTGCTTTCTTTAGTTTAATAGGACATGAACATGATCACGTGTTGGGGAATTGTAGATAACATGCAAAAAGGGATAAACCACAAGGTATGTCATCCAAGTTTGGTGAGATCTTTACCTTATCTCTTAGTTTCCAAGTGGTTAAAATTATGACATAATAGTTTTTTACAAGATCAATTTAGTCCATGATGTTAGTAATTAAATATTACTAGCTCTTCAAGTTTTTAGTTATGCAAATTGAGTTTCCAAATTATTATTGATTCTAAAATTATTTTTATGGTGAGGAAATTATCTGGAATTGAGTTCATATATTTGATGGTCCGGGTACGTGAGAGAAAAATTAAAAGCTCGAAATCAAATATAATGAGTTCAAATTCGAGAAAAATGAGGTTCTGGCAGTGTATTTGATTATACCTGAAAAAGGCATATTTTGGATTCTCTTCGACGTCCTGGGTCCGAATCCGAAGTTCTTTTTGCCAAATTCGCACTCGGTAAGTCATTTTCCATATTTTACCTTTGGATTCAAGTTAGCTTCTCAATTAAGTTCAGTCTTTGATGTAAATTTGGTTGCTTTGTATCCGATGAATTATTGGAAGTTGACTTAAAGATTGAGGGTGTTCGAATTGAATGTAAATGATCGATCAATATGGAACAGAAATCGAGGTAATACTTTACTACCTCTTTATGCTTTATGGAACATGTTGGTATTGATAAATGCATGAATGGAAATGTTTGGTCTCATATGTGTAATTAATGAAGATCTACACTAGGTACGAATACGGTAGAAAGTAGATAACTGAATATGGCTCAGATGACTATTATAAGAAATTGGAGGACGGTTTGAATTAAATTACAAGTTCTGGAATTAAGTAATAAAAGAATTAACCATGGATTGTAGATTATAATTTATCTCATTAAAGGTACTTAGATGATAAATTAAGAGAATATTTCGATTAGGGAAAATTACGAAATTACCCTTATGTTGGAAAATGATAAGAATTGTCTCTGGAAGTGGATTAATAAATCTGAAAAGAATTATTGATCTGCTAAAACTATTGATGTGCATAAGAAATGTTAGTTTTACTTGGAAATTATGGAGAACCGGTTTTTAACCCCAAGAAGGTTTATGCAAGATACTAGAAGTGTGTTAAGGGAATTATTTCAAGATCAGAGATTGTTCAAGAAAGCAATTAATCATAGGATCTCTAAATTATATTATTTTCGTTAAGAGCTAATATCGAACTTATCTGGCTAAGAAATTACGGAAATGCCTTAAGAGGTAGAATAGTCTGAGATGACTCTGAATGAGAAAATACTTAGAGGATTCGTACTTAACTCGATTAAGTACGGATTTAATTGTTAAGATCCCGACTTAGTGCAGGAAAATTTATGATATTCCGTTTGTAAAGTCTGAGAAGACACTTGACCTGAAAATATTCGAATAATGAGTAAATACTGGAAGAGTAATTTATCTGGGGTATTTTGCTGTCAGAATTGTTCGAAATGACTGAAGTAAATGATAAGATTGAATTAAATAATAAGACCGGATGGAAGGAAATGATTGAAATATTCTAGAATTATAAAATGACCAAATTACCCCTGGAATGGAAATAACTCAAGAATGTCACCAAGCTCAGGAATGAATGGATATACTCAAGCTTTGAAATGAATAGAAAAAATGTTAAGCACCAAAATGACCAAAATGCCCTTATGACCTAGAATAAGTAAATGTCTTGGATTAATTAAGAAATCCAAATAAACATGGATGTTGTGCTACCAGTAAAAGTTGTGAAACACAACTTAAGTGATTAACCAACATTAGTACTATATCATTACCTGAATGATATAAGTATCACTTGAATGTTTGTTCATCTGCTCAAATTTGGATCGATGATAATTCTGGAAGTACTTGGCGCAGCTCAACTCTAGAGCGCATACAGTACTAATAAGTGGGTAGTCGTTAGTCAAATCAACCAAGAATACCATAATAACTTTATTATATGAATAAATTGAAATGAAATGTAGTACAACGTGTATTTGAAAATTCAGAAACGTCTGAATTATTCTGGAAAACTTTAAAGTAATCGAGATAGACTTGCTTACCAAACGAACTAAGTAACATCAATGAGTATGGATTAAATAGGTGATTTGATGAGTTTGGAAACACTGTTGAACTTACATGATGAATTGTCATTATGGGTTATGAGCCATGGATCCAGTACGTCAGTATTTCCTGATATTGTTGAAACGTGGAAATGAAATAAAGACCGTTGGAAGATTTATTCAGTGATGATTATGGGGATGATCTATGGATCTGCACTATGGTATTAAAGAGTGAATGCATTGGAAGGATAATGAATTGATTTGTTGACATGCATCAGTCTGTGAGTTGTGTAACTTGAGTTGTTTGATAATACTATCGATAGTCATAGATCGTAAATGACTTGAATCTTTGATTACATATTTTGATCTAAAATCAATTCGGTCATGTTTGAAAACGCAAGTAACGCAGAAGGAAAAGATTCTGAATACCTCATTTGGTACAATTGGGCTGAAATCCTATGAATTCAAAGTATATTCCTGAATACCCCTGATTGTTTGGGTAATGGAATCACTCGCAGTAAATCTGAATTTAGAATTATTATGTAAAAAGGTTCCTGAACGTTTTCCTGATGCACATGGAAACTTAGTGGAATTCTAAAGTATCAATCAGAAATGTCTGATTATATTGGTTAGAAATCGATTCTCTTCAATGAGATCTTATTCCTGGAATCTGATCAAATTGCACAAGTTCGTGTTATCTATATTGATAACTACAAAATGCGTCTGAAAAATATATGGATTCTCTAGTGTGTTCCTTATATGTTGAAAAAAATTGTTTTATTGTTTTAACACGTGGTACACTGAAATCTATGGTTTTATTTTATGGATGCACCGACTTAACGGTGATGGCTTATGGATTTGTATCATTGTATAAACTGTATCTTGGAGATACAGATTTGTAAAGTACAGCTCTGATCAAGCTGGAAAATTGTTATGGACCTAATGTGACACTTAGGTAGGCTCTGCGGCCCTGAGATCATTCTCGGGTAGGCCCTGCGGCCCTAAGATGTTCTTAGGTAGGCCCCACGGCCCCGAAATCTATCTTGGGTAGGCTCTCAGGCCCTAAGATGTTCCCTTAGGTTAATTCTTGGTAAGATGGTTTTAAAATACGAGTTTAAAAAGCTCCACTACAATATGGTTTATGGGATTTTACTGAACTATCATTTGATTAGTGTACCTATTATGATTTTATCGTATTGATGAAACACACTAGACATCCTATTTGACCTCATGAAAACGTGATTGTATGAAAGGTTTCTTATGAACTGAGATTCATGGCTTCTACTCGATGAACTTCTAAGGGAACCCCAAATTATTCTACAAGCTGGTATACATATGATTCAATAAGGAAATTATATGGCTTTCTATTTATCTACATGTCATGTAGCATCATCTGGTAGTTCTGTATTACTGAGCTTTCCAAAGCTCACTCTATTACTCACCTTTTCAGGTTAAAAGAATTGTACCAGTGCATCTATCGACTTCAGTAAGGGAGTTCTTCCGGCGTTGTTGCAGAGTATGGTACATGTGATTAGGGGGCATGTAATTGTATTTTGTTTTAAATACGAGTCTGAAATCTATTTTATTTCTGAATACTGATAAATGATTTTATGAGTTTACATGTTCTGATAAAAAGTTTTAAATTTTCCGCTATTTTTATAGAGGGTCGCTCCGGTGGCCCTAATGTGACTTCCCGGATCGGATCGGGTTACCCGCATCGGTCTGGGGGTTACAATAATAGCACTGCGTGACTCTTGGTTGAGTCTTCCATTTCTCAAACTTAGCAAGGCAAGAGTATCGAACAAAATTATTGGTGTTTTTAATGGTTCTAAATTAATGTCGATAGGTTCGGTACAATATTGGTTTTAATTTTCTCTGACAAGTCCAGTTTTCTAATGCATCTTACCTGTGGTGGAGAATTCTTCTCTTTTCAATACTTTTCCATGCTTTGCTTTTGTTTGTTTTGGTTTTAAAGAAAAAATACAGTTCCATTAGCCAAAGATTAATATCATTGTATATAACAAATCATCATACGAGTTCATTATCCATGGCATTTACTGATAATTAAAAGTATACATAATTTTGTTCAAAAAAGATATACATAATTGGAATGCATACGCTCATAGAAAAAATTACACGAGAATATGCCATATTTTTAAAATATAAATCTTGAAATAATCGTATATCGGATTATTATTTTTATCTGAAATTAAAATTTTGATTTAATTAATTAAATGTAAGCACAACTAAGTTCAGTGGGTACATATGAAATTTTGGTTGCACTATTTATCAATATGGTTGAAAATGTCGATGCCTAATTGGAAGGGAAATCATTCACTGCATCAATTGGAAAAGAAGGACGAAAACAGAGACAGGCTTGGACTATAGCTGGAAGACTCTCTGCGCCATAGACAGGTTTTAATTTATTAGTCCCAAAAGGAACCCAAATTTGCTATATAAAATCAAATAAACCTACTATGAGTTAATTGAATCAAATATCCTCAAAGTATAACCTTAATTTTAAATTGGTCCCTAAAAATTTAAATATTCTAATTTAATCCGTAAAATATGACTATATTATAAATTAGTCCTCAAACTTTTGAATATTTCAATCTCATCCTCTAACCATGACCTTCTTTCTAAATTGGTCCCTAAACTTTTTAGAAATTACAATTTCATCCAAATATACATATATACTAATCATATCCTTTGTTAATAAAATCATTAGGCCAAATTATATTATTATATTTTTGAAAAAACAAATTTTAGGAATAATTATTATTTAAGGACTAATTTAAAATGATGGTTATAGTTTTAAGAATACATTTTTAAGAATAATTATTATTTTATATAACAATGTACTATACTCATATCGAAATTAATATCCAGATTAGAACGAAGTAATATATATAAAAATGGAGGGGCAAAGGCAGTCTCTTTATTTTTTGTTGTCATAAATTGAAACAATAAAATAATGATAAACATCTATTTATATCTTATCTATTTGTATTTTTATTTTTTATTAATTAATTATTATTTTTATAAAATTATATTTAATGTTAGTTTTGTTTTTCTATTAAAAATTTAATGATCATGAAAATATGATTTTTTTAAAAAAATATATATACTTTTTAAATTTTATATAATGATCGAGTTGTATTTTTTTAAATGATAATGGAAAAGATAACATTAAAGAAAATTTTAAGTCAAAATTCTTTTAAAATCAAAGTAATGTTAAAAAATTAAATTTAAAAATAATTATGGCGAAAATATAATATAATTAAATATGAATTTCAGTAAAACTAACATAAATAACTTCTTTAATCTTGTGACTAAACATCTAACCATTCTCTAAGAGGGTCAAAGTTTAATCCTCTTTATTAACAGTCAAATTTTTTATTCGAATGAGATGATAATATATATCATCATTTTATTTATCAAATAAAATTATTAAAGATATTATTGGAATGCAATCAATAAATTTATTAAAAATATTATTAGACTATTAACTATAAGATAAAAATAATATGAAAATTTAAAAAATAAAAGAGAGAATATCACCGTCGATTTTTAACAATATGTACCAAAATAAAAACAAAATATAAATTTAAGTATAAATTTAAAAATTAATAATTGAATGGTAAAAATAAAAAATAAGAATAAATAAAATACCAAATAGTAGTTTACCAATAATTGACAAACCGATCCATCGGGTTCGTTGGTGCATTTACAACATCAAACGTGACAGATAAGATGGCATGCCTACAAAAAAAAATACACATCCCGTGGTCCAAGAGCAAGGTCCCCTCAACCCGCAGACAAAAAGATTAATTGTAACCACGAAATATAAAAAATATTAGGGACGTAAATGTTTAATATTAAATTATCTTTGATTCAAATTAAAATCTTGTACTTATCCAGATTAATAAAAAGATCATAAACATGAAAACGAAACCTATTTCGAATATTTTCTATTCGAACTGATATGATAACATAAATGTGATAAAAACACAAATTATCTACCCTGGGTTTTATCACACCTATGTATATGTTTTAGATTTTATCATATTCCGTCGCAACAAAGTCTAGTAATTACTGCCTTCAAAATTCTGAGTTCTGTGTTTCATCACATGATAGATAAAAGAACACAACCCCTCTATTGGAATCCTAACAAATCACATGGCAAATGAAGATATTATAAGAAAACTGAAAACTTAAACATTAACAAATTTTTTTCATATAATCACTTCGATTTTCCATCATGTCACCCAGAAGATTGAATTCGTGGTGTCTTTCGAGCCCTGTAAGTTCGTCTACGGCAATTAAATAGTGATAAGTAGGCTTGAGTTCCTTTAGCTCAAAATTGCACAAATATGGTGTAAGGATGGTCTCTGAGCAATGCAAGAACTCGCATTGAATATGGTCAACGATAATGCAGCAATGCAGAGGAATGATCAATTTCTTATTGCAATGCAGAAACGGCTCTATGCACAAGTCTTGCTAGTTCCTAGTGTAAGTTCCAGATCATCGACACCAACTTCGTGTATTCTTTCACCTTCCCAAGCTTTTACTCTACCGTTCTCAAACTCAAACTCGGAGCCTCTTCCCATCTCTGTAACTGTCCCCCAGGTGACCCCTCCAAGCCTAGTGGCACCATCTTGGAGAGGATTCTGTTGAACAACCCTCTTCACAAGGTTAAAGGTGGGTGAAGGAGGGGCTGCATTGGATGATGCCATTGTCTGAAAACTCATCCAGCGACCAGAGTTCACGGTCGAGGCATCAGATTCATCACATTCAGGTATGGTGGCTGGTGCGTGGTGGTGCCGCCTTGTTGGGCTAGATGGGGCTGATGTGGCAAAAAGAGAGTGCCGAATCGAGTTCAGAGAGGCATTTGAAAGGTGGTACTCCCAGTCAGGTTTGGGCTTAGATCCTCTTGAAGTAGGGGATGAAAGAGGTGGGGTCACGGGAGCACTATTGGATATCCTAAGAGGAGGGAGATTATTTGGGATGGCAGCAATGTTGCGGAGGAACGGAAGAAGGTAGTTCGATGGATTCGAATCGAATCGAGTCGGGCTAGGGCACAAGGAGGAGGATGGGCTAGCATGGTATGAAGGAACGGGACTTGGGAAGGATGAGGACTGCGGGCTTGGTTGAAGAGATGAACATGCACTGATATTTGTCGAGGTCCCTGCAAGCTCAGACGGAGGTGGCTTGCATCCCTGCAACAAATTCATTAGAAAGGAATCAGAAGAAAACAAAACGGATCGAACCTTTTTCTGTTATGTTCTCTTGAACAATCAAGATCTGTGACTATCACAAACTTCTATGTCATTTGATTTAAGCACAAAGGAAACAAAGAGTCAAAAAGCATATAAAACCTTTCCGATTAATTCTTCCCTTCTTCAATCCAGATCAACACAAAGTAAAAGACCCAGATTGTCAAAATATAAAAGATCAAAAGATCAATCAAAACCCATTTCAGAACAGCAATCAAGAATCTAAATTTAACACCGATACAACTCATGCATGTATAGATCTGGTCTAGTTTTTTAAAACGAATAAGACCCAGAAAATTTTCAAGGAAAAAGAAATCGAACCTTGCGATAAGTGGTGCCATCTTCTTCAACAATCCAACCAGCTTCAGCACAAAGAGCTTTCAAGACCTCGTTGTTGTCACAATGTTTAGGAAGCTTATAGTTGCCTTGAGATCGAAGACCAGTGTATATCTTTGCAGCTATGGCTCTTCTCCTCCGTTCCCTCCTCTTGTTGTTTTCCCTCTCTTTCCATGTCGGTAATCTCCCAGATGCCCCCGTCATGTTTCCCTTCAAAACACCTTGGCCTCTTGTTTTCAATATTCAAGCCCTTGCTGAAGATGAAGAAGAAGAAGAAGAAGAAGAGAAGCGTTGCATTAAAGGGAGAAACAGAGAGATACGAGCAAAATTCCAAAGAGAAGACACTCAGGAGACAAGTCTCTCTCTCTCACGAGGATATTGCTGTTGTTTATCGTTGAAACTTTGAAGTTTTTTTTTAATCGTTCTAGAGGGGAAGATTAAACGCCTGTTTTCCCACTGTTTGACGCTGCCTTATAGATTAGATTCTTCAATCTTCCCTTTTCTCTCACTATAGCTCGCGCCTTCTTTTCCCTTTTTGTTTTCACACTTTCATGAATAAAGTACTGATTTCCTTGGAAACTGATAACACAATTAAGGGTTGTTTTGGCTGAATTTATGAGATAATGTTGTGGAAAAAAAAATTTACGAGATAACGTGTTTTAACAATTAATTATTAAGATAGGGTGTTTACTACAGGTCGAATGAAGGTCGTCGGGTGGTCTGGGCGACCAATGAAGGTCGTCAGGTGATCCATAGGAGAAACAATCAAATAATAGTTGTTTGGGTTAAATGCAAATTTGGTCCTCACAACTTTACACTCTCATACGTATGTTTTAATATTTAGGGGATAATAGCATTTTCGGTCCCCTATGCTTTGTAATCTATTTGTTTAATCATTTAGTGACATTTTTAATGTTTTGTTTCAGGCATGTATATTTTAATAATTATATTTTAGTCACTAGTTGTTTATTCTGTCAAGTTTGTGTATGTTTCATTTTGATCATAATATTTTTAGTTATTTCATTTTAATCACTGATTTCATGTGTTTTATATATTTTCCTTAATTTTCGAAATTGGCCATGAAATTTGTAAACATGTTATTTTAGCCACTGTTTAGTATTTATGTTTAATTATAATTTAGTCATACATGTTTCTTGTTTATCCTATTTTAGTATGTATTTATTTCTCCCTACCAACGATATTATTTCGCAAATTTTTCCAATATAAAATAAAATTAAATAAAACTAAAAAATAGTGAAAAATACTCGAAATAAATAAACGTAGAACAAATAAAATTTATTGAATACAAAACAAGATATCCCAATAATCAATTTTAAAATAAATACATACTAAATACAAAACAAGATATCCCAATAATCAATTTTAAAATAAATACATACTAAAATAGGATAAACAAGAAACATGTATGACTAAATTATAATTGTTTGTGACTAAAATAAATACATGTATGAGAGTGCAAAGTTATGAGGACCAAATTTGCATTTAACCCAAACAACTATTGTTTGATTGTTTCTCCCATGGATCACGCGACATTCATTGGTCGCCCAGATCACCCGGCGACCTTCATTGGTCGCCCAGACCACCCGACGACCTTCATTGGTCTCCCAGACCACCCGGCGACCTTCATTCGACCAAACACCCTATCTCACTAATTAATTGTTGAAATACGTTATCTCGTAAAAAAAAAATTCTCACAACACTATCTCGTAAATTCAGCCCCAATGTTGCCACTCCTCTCCTTTATTAATATTTCTTTAGCATAATGACAAAAAAAAATTCAATACTTTTAAATGATTAATTATTATTTTAAAATTAATTTTAAGTATTACCGTATAAATATTTGCTTGTTTCTCTGTAATGTTTTGATTCGTGAAAAAGGGTAAAGTGACAGAGTTTGGTGAATCTATGACCTCACTCCTGCTGTGTTGTGGTTCAGTTATTATCATTTGTCAGTCATTTCCGAAGAAAAAAATGACTGACCATTTACATGCTAAAGAAACATAAATAAAGGCATAAGGTTACTGCACACAAAAAAATTAAGGTTATATAAATTTTTTAATTTTAAAAAATATTTATGCTAGAAATAGGTTAAATGGAATCTTCAAATTATATATATTTATTAAAAGAGAGAGGATGAATTTAAAAACAGCTAGGAATAGGAATCTAGCTAAATTTCAAGAGTGACCAACTTAAAGACTAGGTAACTGATGTCTAGGACGAGCATGGGTCGGTTTAGGTCTAATTTGGGTTAATCCGATCAGATTCGAAAATTTTACATCTTTCATTCATCTCGACCCGACCCAAAAAATATATATCCTCCACCAGATCTGAATCTGACTCGAAATAATAAAATATTATTTTTATTTAATAAAAACAGTGATTTAATTAAAATAATAATATATAAAAGGGATATTATTGTAATTATTCCTAAATATATAAGGTAAAATTATATTATTTTTCGAGTTGGATCGGATTAGGTATTTTTTACCTTAAATCTGAATCCGACCTGACCCGAACATCACCTTTAAAAAATTCGATCCGACCTGATCAGATCGAAACCGTAAGGTTCAGGTCCCGTGACCATCCCTACCGAAGTCTAGGGTGTGTGCCAAAAGAATATCTTTCATTTTTACAAAATACTTTCAACTTTTACTAACAATCTGAAGGGAAAAAAAGTAGAACGGAATAATTGTAGAGGATGGTTGGAGCTAAAAGATAAACCACAAAGGCTATAACTCACCGGTCAAAGCATTGGTTCCATGAATGAATTTGGTTGTATTAGACTTTTAATAGTCATTTTCTTTCTCTATAATGGGACCGAGAAGAAGAAATAGGTAGCCTCCATTATTGACTAGGATAATGTTTTCTGCAATCATGCACCAATTGCATTTTTTATATATTTTTCTTTTAATTGTTTTATTCAACCAAATTACCGTATATCGCTAACGTACGTGTGACTAATTTTGTTTTCATTTTCATTTTTTAATTTTTTAAAAATATTAAATATCAAAACCAAAACATGAAGCAACTAGTGTTTTTTTCAAATGTATATTATTGAAATCAAGTGACGTGTTATTAAAAAATCTATCATTTATGTATTTAAAGCATAGTTTTATTTATAGATTAAGTTAGTGATATATCAAAGAAACATCGTTTTAATATTAACTAAAACTGGATCATAAGATCGACCTTGGACATGTCCTTCTTATTTTCTTTATTAAAAAACAACATTACTATTTAATGCCATAACTTTAATAAACGATATTTTAAAAAGTTTATAAAAAGATAAAATTATTTTTCATTAACTCAATCAATAATTACAAAATCAATTAAATCAAATTTTACTAGTATTTAATGCCATGTAATCCATTTTCGGTAACCCAGAAAGCGAGCATATTCTGGAGAATTTCAACAATTGTTGGCTTCCACCGTCGACCTATGCGTTCGATTCTTCAAATTTTTGATCCAAAACTTTCCCAGCCGAACTCTTCTTCTTGTAGATTCTACAAAGCACCCAATCATCCATCTGGGGAAAAAACACACAAAATGGTTCATACAGCAATGCCATCGAACAGTTGATGGGCATGACCAAAGAGGGACAGGTGGATCTTACTCTCATGGATCCATTTTGCCTCTTGATTTGCTTTCGCAAATGGTTTAATATGTATTCGTGCATGATCCAATTTGTTTTGACACACTTTGGTGGTCTGCCATTGTAGAAGACGAGAGCCTTCTTCACCCTGACATGTTTATAATCACTGTATATAGCTTTACCGGTTCCGGTGACCTTCCAATAGCCGGAAACAAAAAAGGGGGTGAATTTTGCGTTTAAAAGAAAATGGTTTAATTGCAGCCTTAGTCCCTAAAATCTCTAGAGTTTATGAAATTGAAAACTTTTAGAGTCTAGTGACCAAAATAGAAGAGAAGAAAATAATTGAGTGATAAATGGTGTAATTTATCAAACTCATTATAGCAGAAATTAACGGAAATATTAGTCAATTATAGAAAACGTTGGTCAAATGGTCACATTGAATTTTTTTTCAAGTTGGAGGGTCAGATTGGTCCAAAAAAGATAGGGGTTAATTGATTTTTTTAAGTTTGAGGGTCTTTGATGTCTTTTTGCCTTTTTTTAATAAAATTTTTAAATAAAAAGTGACTAATTTTATTAAAAAAATAAAAATATTCAGAATTATAATGATTGTTTATAATCATAATAGTAAATTATACATATAATTATGAAACTTTTCTATAATCATTTACACAAAAAATTAGTCACTTGATATCATATGATGATCAGATTATAAAAATATTAAAAAGCTAACAAAAAACTCGAATAAAAGATAGAGATGAAAAAATCTGATTGCATTGACAAATGAACAACAAAATGAGATCAAACTATTAAAAGATCACCGACAAATTACAGATTAGACCAAAGCGATGTGAGAAAACTATCCACGAATGTAAACCGCGTATCAAAATCTAATATGATAGTGCAAAGTAAGAAAGATTAACGAGATAACAAATAAATACTATATTAATTAATCGAGACAATGCTAAATCTAACCATAAAAAACAAATAAATGAAAATAATAGCAAACAGCTGATAACATATGAAATGACATAAAAAATATATAATAAAGATAAAAAAAATATCATAAAACTAAAATTATTAAAAAAAAATATGATATAAGAAAGTAAAAAATTATAATGATTAAAGACGGCTGACAATTAACAGTCTAACACTAAAGCGATATCATCGCCTACCGATCAAAGAAAAAAAAAACAAAAGATTACATGCTTAAACGTAACAAGCAAAGATATTAATTCATCAAAAAAATTTAAGTAACTTGTTAAAAGATTTGCACATAGATTTTGCTAAAGATTAATTTTTTTTTGTGTGTAACAAATTATGGGGTAAATTTTGAATTTCATTTAATATTTTTAAAAAGTTATAACATTATGTTTTAGTATTATTTAGATCACTTGTCATTAAAATTAAATAGATTTATTGATATAATATTTTTTTATTTTTTCAATTATGATACAATATAATCTTATGACGTGACAATAATACTATATTTAATTTTATAATAACAAGTTATCAAGATCAAATTAAAACATAATTTAACTATACTTTTTTTTTAAAAATAATAAATATATAATAAAACAAAATTAAAGTAATAATTAAATACATAAGTTACTCTAAAATATATATACATTGAAACTCGGGGTTAAAATTTCATAAATGATATTAAAAAGTTATCATGCAACTTATTATGAAATATACCTTAAAAAATGAAAACTATTGTCAAATAATAACAATTGCTCGTGTATTTATTAAACAATAGCGGCATCAATGGAGATGGATAGGCATGTGTGGTTCCAGCTAAGCCTAGAAGGGAAGAGGGGTTAGCTGGCAAAGCATTAAATAAACGGGACTTCGCCCACGTGCGGGAGAGAGGCGTGCCTTTTGGGGTCTTCCAATCGCTTGGACCTCCTAGTTTTCTTTAATTATTATTTTCTGTTGCAACGAGGCCTTTCGTTGGTCTCC